TCGAGTCCCGCATCGGGCTCCCTGCTCCTTGGGAGCCTGCTTCTCCCTCTGCCTCTCTCTGTCTCTCATGAATAAATAAATAAAATCTTTAAAAATAAATAAATAAATAAATAAAAATAAATTTTAAATCATTTACTACTCCTCAACATGGACCCATTGCTCCTGTAGTCAGGTCTACTTACCATTTACTGGAATATTTTCACCTCCACATCTTTGCCATTTATCTTGGTTAGAACGTTCTACTTCCTGTCTACGTGTCCAAATGCTATTTATATTTTCAAACTTATTTTTATTTTTATGAAAATAGTTTATGCTCATAGTTTAAAAGTTAGTTACAAGACTTATAAAGAGAAAACAGAGAAGTCTCTTATCCCATTCTTTTCCATTCTCAATCTATGCATCTAGATAGAGGCAAGTACTTTTCATTATTTTAGCTGTTTCTTCTGATGTTTACCTCATTTCTAAATAATATAACTATACTGATATATTTTGACTTAATGACTCATTATGGAAGATAAAGATTTACTCTTCTTATGCCATATCATCTTCTCTGTCTCTAGTCTCTATCTTCCCAATATAGCTTGGGAGGATGTAGAATTCTGATTTAGAAATCATTCTCTCAGAATCTTAAAGGCCAAACTATATCTCAGTGAATTCATTGTGATTCCTAGAGATTGCCTCTTCTCTTCCACTGTACTAAAATACCCCATCCTTTTAATAGTCAGAGTTCTAGCTTGCATGCCTTTGGTATCCTTTTAATAGTCAGAGTTCTAACTTGTATGCCTTTGGTATCATGATTACTAGATTATACCTACTTCCCCATTTTGAAAAGCAAAACAACATTAGATCATCCACAATCCCTTTGGACTTCCGCTGTTCTCCATGATTACTAACCTCATTTGTCAGTGCCCTCGATGTAATTAATATGGGCTATTTGGAGCACTACAACAGGGAGCCCTGATCTTATCTGACAAAGCAACATTTAAGCTGAGATCTGAAGGATGACTAGTAAAGTCCATGAAAGCATTCCAGTGGAGATGGTTGCATGTGCAAAAGCTGTCAGGGGAAAAGAAGCTTTGGGAACTCAAGGGATGAAAGGTGGCCAGTGGGGTGGAGCTTGGTGACTAAGAGGGAAAGTAGGCCCACCTTTATGCTAGAGAGGAAGGCAGGGGTCAGAGAATTCAGGGCCTAGTAGGTGATGTTAAGGCAAGATCTGGGACTTATCCTAAGAGTGATGAGAAGCTGCTGAAAAATCATTAAGTAGGGGAGTGATTTGATCTGTCTTCCAAAGATTTCTGGGGTTGCAGTGTGCAGAATGAATTGGAGAGAGCCAATAATTAGGAAGATATGGATAAAATCAGTTTTAAGTAAGTGTTAGGGCCAGACTTGGAAGGGAGAAAGAAATTTCAAATGGGCAAAAGGTAGTCTTACGAAGTATGTTTGAAAGCTCAGCAGAGGGGCGCCTGGGTGGCTCAGTTGGTTAAGCGACTGCCTTCGGCTCAGGTCATGATCCCAGGGTCCTGGGATCGAGCCCCACATCGGGTTCCCCGCTCGGCGGGAAGCCTGCTTCTCCCTCTCCCACTCCCCCTGCTTGTGTTCCCTCTCTCGCTGTGTGTCTCTCTCTCTGTCAATTAAATAAATAAATAAATAAAAATCTAAAAAAAAAAAAAGTTCAGCAGACAGTTAAATTTCTTTAACTTGCTGATGGCAGTGATTTAGATGCTGATATAACAGCTTCAATTTTTTTCTTTTTTTTTTCATTTTTTAGTATTAGATGGAAAAAATGTCTCCTTCTCACCATTCCCTTCCTGATGGGATCCTGAATTGCTGATCAACCGGCTGATCCCAGAAGCAGTTTGCTCCCCTCCTTCCCAAGTGTGGACTGCCATCCTGTGCCCTAGTGGTTGTTCTGCTCATTTGCCATGGTGAGAATTCTGAGGGGTTGAGGTAGAAGGTAGGAAAGAGTAAGGGAAGCAATAGAGAAGGGCTTCTGGGGGGCTTGCATAGAAATGGGAGAATTGAAATGGTGGAGGAAGAACACTTTCCCTTTTTCTGACAGTAAGCATTATATGTAGTCACGATGGTAATAAGGACAGAAGACTGCTTCCTCAGAATTCCTGCCTGCAGGAGACTGGGGCTTCTGCTGAAGTCAGCTGATACACCACAAGAGTTGGTGTTATATACCACGGGTTCTGACAGTTTAGTCAGGAGGAAGTTAGTTTTTGCAGTTCTGTTTATACAGTTGGCCAAATGAAAAATGCTGGCTGATGGGTTTGCTTTTCATAGTCATTGACAACAGCTTTCTACAACACCTAGGTTTTCTTTGGAAACTGTGAAGAGGTACTGAAAAGAAGAAAAATAATTTCTTCTTGTCTTAAAGAAGCTCACAAAGGAAAGTAATTCTAAAGGGTGCTTATGAGAGTAACTAATTTCAAGTTGGGTTTGGATATGGGAAAAAATTACCTTGCATAAATTTCGTGTTTTGCTGAGCATATTTTGATTTGTGTATTGCATTTTTATAGTCAAGCAAATTAGTCTGGACCCATGAGTATAGATGTTGTGATGAAATAATTAGGACATAGAGACAGCAGAATTACAATAACAAATGAAAATTTGACCAGCAATATTGCTATATCTTGGGGGATCAAAATGCCTTGCTTTTAAGCTGGACAACATAGAAATGGCATGTGACATAATACAAAATGGTGTGTGAGAGAATACTGCAAAATAATTTCTAGTTCTTTAATTTTTTATTTTTAAATTTTTTTCTTTTTTTAAGTATTCTCTATACCCAGTGTTGGGGGGGCGTTCCAAACTCATGCCCCGGAGATCAAGAGTCACTTGCTCTACGGGCTAAGCCAGCCAGGTGCCCCTAATTCTCTAGTTTTTTAAAAAAGTTGATCAGTTTTAGAGACACCTGGCTGGCTTAGCTTGTGGAGCATGTGACTCTTGATCTCCCGGTCGTGAGTTTGAACCACCCCCAACACTGGGTGCAGAGATTACTTAAAAAAAGAAAATTTTTTTAAAAAGTTGATCTGTTTGAATCTGTAAGTACATTTTTTCCTTTTGTGTAACAAAATTGTATATGGAAAGATATTACTTATTTACTAGTAAGTACTTGCATCTCCAACATCTAAATTCATTTTCTATTACCTATTTTATTGATAAGGATGTATTTTATTGATAAGAATTCTATACTTATTCCTAGAACAAATGATAATCACTGCTTCCACCTCCAAATTTCAGTATCTAGAAAAGTGCCTGCCACATAGTAGGTGTTCAACAAATAATTAGTGAATTAAATTATATTAGTTGCTGTGTTCAAGTAAAGCCAGAAAATAAACTCTATTCGAAAATAAATCCTTGAAATAGTAGAGAACAAAACCTTAGATCCATTTTGCCAATAAAATAAATATCCTAATATCTGATTAATATACATCTAACATAAATCTTAAAAATCATTAGATATAGCCTCAAGTGTGAACAAACAGAAGGAACCTACTAATAGGGAAAGAATTGCAAATATTTCCAATCGTATTACTTCTTGGCAATTAAGACTATTTAGGAACGTACCTTAAGTCTCCTGCATTGGCACTTCATTGGGGCTGGGCTACTCATTGCTCACAGAATCAAGTTCGAACTTCAGAGGGTGTTTCTGAAGATCCTTTTGGGTTTTAATGTTCATTTGGGCCGCCCCACCCACACATCCCGGGCGTCTGCCAAGACGATGTGTTCTTTTTCTTAGCTTGCACTGCGCCTTCTCACCGACCTCTCCCTCGGCCTGGACTTTGCCCACTGGGCTCCTTCGGACACACCCTCTACAACGTTCCCATGTTGCAAGGTCCAGTTCAATCTCCAGAGCCTTCAGGAAAGCTTCCCCAGCCCCTTTTCGGATGCAGTATCGTTCTGCTGAACTTCTCTCAGCCCTTGGGAGTCTCCACTCTAGCAGCCGTTACTTTCAAACGTGGTTTTTGCCTGTCGCTATACCCCACCCCACCCCCCATTAGATTGCAACCACCCTGTTGGGGATGTCTTTTAAGTAGTCGCCGTGGCGAGACCCTCGCACAGTGCCTGGTACAAAGAAAATGCCCAGTAAAGATTTGTTGAAATGAATCTAAACCCCAGAGAGGAAAAGAAGCGCCTGTGCCCAGCAGCAAAGGCCCTTCACGACCTGAGGGGAGGCCTGTGGTGTAGCTGGACCCTGTCCGCAGCTCGAAAACTGGCAGGAGAATGTGGCGCGGCAGGACGCTCGTGTCAATGTTTCTCAACTCTCTACTTATTTCATCTTTACTTTTATAGAGGAATCTGAACGTTCTCCAGCAGCACGGGGCAAGCCAACAGGGCGGTGCAAACCGGCTGAGGTGGGGGTTGGGATGCCCGGTCTCGTGGCAATTCGAGATTCAGGTTTTATATTTAATTTTTGAAGTTTCACAAATTCCAGTTCCAAACTAGGAGCCGAGAGTGTAGAGGGTTTCCTGGAGCATAAATTTTGAGTCCTAGGCAAAGCTCCCAGCATTCAGGGCTTTGCCTCATTTATCCTCCTCACATTTCTCACCGCGGGAATCTACCGAGCACTCCCGGCCACCACATCCAGTCGGAGCCGAGAACCGCGGTTCGGCGCAGCGGTCTCAGCCGCTTCCTCCTTCAACCCTTCGGCAAACCCCGTCCGGGCGAGTGGGGGAGCTCCCAGCCCGCAGTACGAGGCGGAACAGGGGCACGGTTGGACTACAACTCCCAGGATGCTCTGGGAAATGCACGGAGGAGGGGGCCAGGGGGAGGGGTCTGGGGTGGGGGGGTGGCAGGGAAATCCCGCCCCGCTGCGCAGCGGCAGCGACACAAAGCCTGACTTTACAACCTCATAGAGAAAGTGGAAGTAAGACGGCTTAGGCGGGGAGGCAGGACGGGAGAAAGAACTGGAGGAAGGAAAGCCGCGTAGGTGGGAGCGAAGCGAGGGTGGTGGGGAGACCCGCGCCTTTGCAGATGAGGAGGGGGCGGCTTTCATAACTAATCCCCCCGCTCCGTCCCCGCTGGGGTCTCCACAGTGTCCTGCCTGTCCCCACTCCTCGCCGAGAGCTCGGCTCCTCCCCGCCGCGTAGCGGGGAGCCCGGCTGCCTCGCGTGCTCGGGGCGGGCCGGCGGACTGCACCGTGGTTCCTCAGCCCGGGTGCGGGACGAAAGCGCGGGGCAGAGCGGCTGCCGCGGACCGAGAAAGGGCTACGAGCGAAGCAGTGCCGCGGACGAGTTAGGGCCGGGGCAGGGGAGTCGTGTGGGGCTGAGGCGAGGTGAGGCGCGGGGTGCCCCGGGAGGGTCCCCCGTGCCCCAAGTGGGGCGGAAGCACGCGTGCTAGCTGCCGAGGCCGGCGGGGAGGGAGGGCGGGCGGTGGCGCTGTGCGGGGGAAGAGTGCAGACAGCGGGGTGCCGAGCCCGGCGCAGGCGGAGAGATTGGGGCGCCCCCCTCCCCGCGGGAGGAGCCTAGTGCTCCTCCGCCATCCCTCCCCCGCACGCCAGGCTCGCCTTCTCGGCAGGCTGCTGCGGGAACGGCGGGGCGGCGGTACTCCAGGGGGAGCGGCGGGGCCGCCGCCCCCGGGACGGGCGGGCCGGGGGCGGGCTGTGAGTGGGGCGGGAGCGGGGCGGGGGGGGGCGCGGGCGCCAGGGCGCCAGGGCGCGGGCGGCTGGGGGGCGGGGGAAGCGCGGAGAGCCTAGGAGGGCAGGCGGTGGCGGGGCCGCCCGCCTCGCCGCCCGCTTCACGCCGCCGGCCCACGCCGCAGTGTGTTTTGTGGACGGCACCTTCCCAGACAGCTCAGTAGAGCCCAGCTCGGCGCCCGGCAGCCTTCGTCGCGATGTTCCGCCGGAGCTTTAATCGTTTTGTAAGTACACTCGCTGCGGCTCCACGCGTGCGGTTTGCTTGCTCGCCAGCCCTTCGCTGGGTCCTTCGGAGCAATTTTCTAAGGGAATAATTGCATCCCTGGGAGCCACCACCACCACCCTCTTTTAGATTTTAACTGAACCACGTTGCCCGGGCGGCCGGGGTGGGGAGGCAGGTAAGGCTCCCAGAGTCCCCCTCCCCCCGGACAATTTAACCAGAGCTTCCCGGGGTTTTGCAAACTCTGTCTCCGACGGGGGGCCGCCCTCCGACTGGATGGTGGTAGGATTCGTGGGGGGACCGGTCCAGGGGCCCCTCGGTTTGCCAGTTAGTCGAAGATGGCGTTTTATTATCAGGGAGGTTGCTTTCTTTTGTTTCCTCTGCCACGAGCACATGGAGGTAAACCTAGACCTGTCACTGTGTCCCAAAAAAAGATCTGGGGAGTGAGGGAGCTGGAGGCGAGGGCAGGACTCAGCCTTGCCCGGGGATCGGCCGGGCGGGGGTCTGCTGACCAGAGGCTGAGCAAACTTTGGAGACCCAGCCTTCTTAAGAAGCTCACCTTTCGGGTATAATAAAAGCGAAGGCGATTGTCAGGGTGGGCTGGGTGGATATGGAGACGCAAGGAGGCTGCTCGGCGGCGTCTGAAACCTCACCGAGCCCTGAACGCCCCGTACTTCGAGCCCGTGAGAAAGGGCAGGCTCCGGCTGAATTCCTCCGTCCACGTTTACCGCTTGCAAATCCCCAGAAAAGGGACTGTATTTCCGTGGGAGTTTGGCATTCGAGAAAAGCGATTCCTGGCTACTGACTTTTTTGAGTAACCTGTTTACTCCTAGAGAGTACATTAAGAATGGAGCAAAGCCGGGACTATTTACTTCTGTGCGGCTATTTGTAGCAACTTCCTTAATTGCAAGATGAGGTGGCGGGAATAGGATTTTATTTCTGCCAGTGATGTGAAGGAAAGGGCTCATCTGTAAATTTTGATTTTTTTTTCAGTCGTTCAGAAAAATGGTTCAGTGCTGTACGCTCCCACCCACCCCCATTAAAATACACGTTTGAGAACTTGTCGATTTGGCCATTTTCATGTGATTATTCCTTATCAAAGCATTGCTAACATTTTTTTAGGCGTCAGATGAATTTGCTCTCATTTTTTTTTTTTTTTTGCATTTGAAACTTTCACGAATGAACCCTGGCTAAAAGAAATAATTGTACATCCCTTTTGAGGATATTATCACAGCAGTGCAATGTTAATGTTTTTCTAAATGTTTACCTCACCCAGAAACCTGTCTTAGGCAATTGGAGATTACCTGTGGCACAGAGCAAAAGAGGTTGTACATATCAAGCATCTTGAAATCTATAGGAATTGGCTTGTACTGGATGCTTTGCCAAAGCAAGTGACTAAAATTGGTTTCTCACATTTAGCCTGAGAAGGTACAAAAGCATTGTACTTCATAGTTCTATTTCACATTGGAATCTTGTGATCTGGGAGTGTTGTTGGGGCTGACAAAAAGGGAAAGGTGACAGCGAATTGTAATAATTGGAGAAGGATAATCTTTTCACAGGGCACTTGAATAGGCGAAAACAACTGGACTCTGGTTCATAATGAATTCATTATCTTAAAATTGAGATGCTGACATCCCCGATCTTTTTTAAGGGTTTGAACATTTGAAACCATACAACCCAACTATTGGTCTAAAAGCCCCCTTTGATTTTTCTTTTGCTAAGAATGATCTGCATTGTATCTGAGTCTGATAATTAAGCAGTGCTGGCCCAGGAAGCTAGGGCACGCAGTAGAATTTGCAGCAGTGGTTGAGGTGCCAGCCTGCAGGTTTGAGGCTAGTACTTTGCATCCCCGACCAAGATCTCTGCAGAGAATCACTTATGCTCACACTGAAATGAGCTTTGACCTCATTGTTCGCCTGAAATACCCAACAGCTCACGTTTTCCTGCGCAACCATGACTATGGTAAGTCTTGGGAATTTGTACCGGTGCAGTAAGCTGGAAGGTTCTCAGGAGTTGTTATCTGAGCCAGAGGCCTAGGGCAAGGAATTAATCTGAATGTGAAATACCTTCTTGAATACTCATTACTAAAGATGACTTGGAAAATGGGGAGGGGGGCAAATTTTATCTCCCCTAGATCAGTATGTCTGCTGTCCTCATCTTTTGCCTGGTAGAGATTATTTGAGGAGCATTCCTATTTAAATCACTAGAAGGCTACAGTTCGAGATTTAGGTTGGACTTTGAGACTTGCACAGCAATGTAGATATAGTCCAAGTTGGGTGCTATCTTATGATGGCTTTTGTATTTCAGAAGTGGGTCTGTGAATTCCTTTCAAAATTAAGTGGTTTTCTGTGTGTACCTATATGTATCTAAAATAGACTTTGAACATGACAAATTACAGTGGTGTTGATTGTAGTTGGTCACTGAAAACTAGATACATGTTGCCATAGGGCTTTACATTTTAAACCTGAGGTGGGAAGTAAATATCTTTTGGGAGTAGCATCATCTTCTGTGGCTCAGTAGTGTTTGCTGAATCGTCTTAAAAATGCCATTTCCTCAGGTTCTCCAATTTCAAGCTAAAAGAAATAGTACTTCATTGTATTTCTTAAAGATGTGGTCTTGACTTCTTTGCCATTAATAATTGACTTTTTTTCTGATGAATTATGACTTTCCTTTTGACAGTTTTGAGGTAGAAATTTGGTGGATTTGGTGTAGGATTTTAGGGTTTAGGCGTGTAGGGGGTATCTTAGAAGATTTAAGAGTTGCATGTTTGAGTAAAATAAAAGCACCACCTATTCCAAATCAACATCTCCATTTTCCATATATATAATAAAAAATAGTAGCTTTGTACAGTTTTCCTTTAAAGGCATGTCTAATTGGAAGTCTGGACTAGTTGAGACTTAAGGGTCAGGGACTTTTATGTTATTTATTCTTTTACTCTTCATAAAATTCCTAGTGATTGCAGTAGCATTTTCACATGGGTTTAAAGACTTAATGAGAGTCTAAACAATGAGAATTACCCCCTCCCCTTTTTAAAAGATGTTATTTTTACATAAGCTCCACACCCAATGTGGGGCTCGAACTCACAACTCCAAGATCAAGCGTCGTCGCATGCTCCAGTCGCATGCTCCACCGACTGAGCCAGCCAGGTGCCCTGCCCCCAGACCTTTTTGACCTTATTTCATGCTAAAGATTCAAAAGAAGACATTCCTTGATAAGGTAGATTCAGAGGAGTTGGGCCAAGTAGATGCTGTCAATTTAGCTTGTCAGAATGATATTAAACAGGCATGAATTTCTAGGTCATTGATAAATGAAAGCTTAAACTGTGAGTGTGAAATACTGGAAAAATTTTGTCTCTCATTCTAGAAGCTCTCAAACTGCTTTGCTTCCATGAAGCATGCAGCATATAGTAATATCGCAGAAAATGTCGAATCAAAGAGGCTCAGGACTAGAAAGCAATTAGACTGCATAAGGTGGAATGAAAATTCAAAATCAGACCAAAAATATTTAAAATAATTAAGTGAAATGGATAACTAATTTATTACTTTGAGTCCAAGGCAAGGCCAGTCCAGTGAAGCAATATTGGAGGCAGTTAATAAAATAATTCAGGTAACTGCTGTTTTTTTTTTTGTTTTCCTTTTTTGAAGCAAGAAGGTTCTCTGTTTCCTCCTTCAATTATCAGGGTAATTAAGCTTTTGTTCCCCCCCCCCTTAACTTTACTAAAGCTCTTGGTCTAATATTGCTGAGCCTGGAAAATATTGATGAGTTCATTTTATTATGTTTAGAAATCAATTCAGATGTGTGTATTGCAGTATTTTTGCATTCACACAAGCCTTACAAATAGTCTGTGCATCTTGGCTCCTACCAGGTAGTTCATACATGGCTAGGTTATTTTTTTTTTTTAATTCCAGTGTAGTTAACGTACAGTCTTACATTAGTTTCAGGTGTACAGTATAGTGATTGAACACTTCCACATATTAGTGCTCATCAAGATTAGTGTACTTTTCCTCCCCTTCACCTTTTTCACCCATCCCTCCACCCACCCATGACATGGCTAGGTTTAACAGTTGAATTTGACCTTACTAAAAGCAACCTTTTTTATCTTACTGTAATCTCCTTTTAACTTGTGTGGCACCCTAGATCAGTTTTTTTAAGAATTAAGCCCTCATGCCCTAGGGCATCCATTGCATATAATAAATTATCACCTATGCATGCATCTGCAGATGAGGAATTTCAGTTGAGAAAGGCTGCCCTAGCCTGAAAGCTTCAGGGCAGGAACAGTTAGCAAAGTACCAGGTGCATAGTAGGAGTTTGATAAATATTTTTTGAATGAACAGCTTTTATGTGTTTCAAATAAATAATTATTACTTACTGATATTTGTAGCAAATTCCTTCTTATGAAGAATGAGTTCTAGTTAATTAGGTGTGATATTGTAATTTATAAGAAGACATATATGTGTGTATATATATATTTGGTCTCTCCCAGTTTCTGGCACAGAGCTCCTAAAATCTTTGGAATTCCCTGGGACGAAAGCAGTAAAGGTGTGTTTTGTTATGTTAATGAGGCGACTTTTGGAAAGCACCTCTGGTTGGGGGCTGGTTGCCTGGGGATCCAACCTTGTGATCAGAGGGTTGGAACTTTCAGTCCCACCCCCTGACCTCTGGGGAGGGGAGAGGGCCTGAAGATTGAGTTCTATTGCCACTGGCCAATGAGTTAATCAGTCGTGCCTCTGTAACGAAGCCTCCATTAAAAGCCCAAAAGGACAGGGTTTGGAGACCTTCCAGGCTGGTGAACAAGTGGAAATTTGGGGATAGTGGTGCACCCTTAGCCCAGACCTTGCCCTGTGCTGACCATAGTATAATCTTTATTAGATGGTTATGTTATTTTATGATTTTGAGCATTATTTCATTCAACAAATATTCACTGAACACCTACTATGTGTAGGG